GAGCATCTTGGCGGACCACTTGATGGGCTTACCTCCCCGATGTAGCTGTTGTAATTCTATAGAATTCAAATTGTAATACAATAAGATGCCACGTAAGGAATAAAAGAAGCAAGACAAATACAATTTTAAAAAAATCAATGTGAATATTTAATGTGATGGAGGTGTTGTCTTCAACCACAAATCCAGACATGCCAAAGACCACGGATAGTGTGCAGACCACAGTTTAGGGAACGCTCCCCTCCCCCCCACATTATGGTTTAAATTTGCTGTTCGGGTGTTCATTGGGACTGGTTTGGTTCCCAGCCCATGCAAGGCACAACCTGCCAACCCTTTGCTTTTCTGATTAGTACTCAACCATTACATGCGTTGCTTGCGAGTTTTGAGACTATTTTCCAGACTTGGGTGTGAAATATAAACAAATTAAAGCTCTGCACAATTCCAGCTAAACTCTCACCACCACCACCACCACTGCCCATACTGCTTCCTCAGATAAAAGATTGGGGTTTTTTTTGGCCTGTTGTATTTTCTGGCCTGATTTTGATGATCCTGCAACTTGCCTTGTATATAGCAACTTTTCATGTTCAATTTGCTGCTGAAAGTCAGGTGTTGCTACTACAGCCAGGCATACCACATGCATCTGTGCTGCTATGTTTTGAGACTTAGCATAAAGTTTAATTATTCACTGGGGAGCAGATTTTTATATTTCTCCCTTTCTGCTTTGAAAACATTGCCAAAGCGGTTCATCTCCGACACCAGCAAACAGTTGGGGAGGGTTTTCATGGAACAGAAGAAAACAATTTGTATCTGAGTTAACCAAAGTCAGGCCTGTGAAGACATTTAAATGCTAACAACTGTTAATGCTACACAGTCACTGTTCTACCCCAGGAAACTCAAAGTGTAGGAACCAGATTCTGATAGCCATCTGTACTAATTCTAAAGTTACACAGGGAGGAGCATTTTTCTCATTCTTCTCTCGCAGCAATTTTATTTAACCATAGTCCACAGAAGAGAACATGTGGGAGTTATTTACAGCTGTTTTCAGAGAATGTGTAGCTGTGGAATTCCCTCTGCTACGTTTATTGTTCCATCATCTAGTGTTCTTAACTCCCTAGGTCTTTTCTTAAGGGTCCCGGTGGACCCTGCATTTCCAATACTGTTGGCAGTGACGGTGGAACGCTGAGCACCAGAATCTAGCTTCCAGACTCAGAAACCAAAATAAGGCCTAGAGAAGGACTGGGAAACCTTTCACTGCACCCTGGATGTGGGATAGAGAGTACCACATTTCCCTTGTTGAAAGCTGGTGGAGTCTGCATTGCAGGAGGGGCTGGAGTCAGACACGCACAGTCACATGCTCTTAACACACACAGAGACACACTGGACATTCACAGGTCCTCACACATGGGGACTTGAACACAATTATGCACAGTGACACATGCTCACACATTCTCCTCACTGGTGCAATTAAGGCTTTTTGCTTGGTTTTTTTAAAACCTCTTTTTAGAGCCCATAGGAGGGGTGTTTCCGAAGTCTAAATGCTGTGTGTATATTTGAAGGGGGGATTTAGGCTGGGGGGGGAACCCCTCCTATTGGCACCAGTAGGTACTTTCCCCAAACCTAAATGTGGGGTGGTGGTGGTGTTTTTGGCGTTGGTGTGTGACAGTTGTGAAGCAAAATGTCAGTCTTTCTTCCCCCAGTTGTATTAACCCATGATATCAAGCCTTGGCCAGTTGGCTTAAAAATCACCCTATTGACTTCAGTAGCATTTTTGGAAGCCTAATTGAAGTGCTGGTAGGAAAAGCTGCAGGCTGGCCTGGATGGGGAGTATCTGGTCTGTGGGTGCTCAGTTACCTATACGTGGCCTAGAGCCTTGTAAAATGAAGAATGGCCCAGAGATGCTCAGACTGTGATCCGACGAGTTAATTGAAACTGTTTTGAATCTTTTGTGTGGCTATCAGATGTAAAGATGATGCAAGCAGTCAATCTGCTGTTCCCCAGCACACACATACATAAACCATTTTTTAGGTATCCCAGGAGTGTAAGAACCATTTGTTACAAGGGCACTCGCATCTGAAGAAAAGTCTTGCGAGCAGAGGAATAGGAGTTGCTGCTGTATGGTACCTGCGGCAAGGGGTAGAATTTGTTAGGGTGGTCGCAGGATGGAAAAGAGAGGGGGCTGCTGAAGAGAAAGCAATGTTCCTCCCTACCTAATTCTGCATCCAAAGTGTCTCCATGCTTTTACCAATCTTTCCCCTTCTGCTTTTGTGGCTACGGCAAGAGCTTTGATATTATTATGGGTGAACTGAGAGGATGTTCCTAGTGCCTGCAACAACTTCGCTGTCGCTGTCGTTTCCTTTATCTGTTCCTTGTTCTCTTTGTCTTCCTTCTGCCATTGTTAAATTGCCACGTTTCCCCCCATGTTGTAAATTGGGGAGAAATGATGAGATCTTTTAGATAAGCTGATTGTTGTTGTTGTTTAGTCGTTTAGTCATGTCTGACTCTTTGTGACCCCATGGACCAGAGCACACCAGGCACTCCTGGCTTCCACCTCCTCCCGCAGTTTGGTCAAACTCATGTTGGTAGCTTCGAGAACACTGTCCAACCATCTCATCCTCTATTGTCCCCTTCTCCTTGTGCCCTCCATCTTTCCCAACATCAGGGTCTTTTCCAGGGACTCTCCTCTTCTCATGAGGTGGCCAAAGTATTGGAGCCTCAGCTTCAGGATCTGTCCTTCCAGTGAGCACTCAGGGCTGATTTCCTTCAGAATGGATAGGTTTGATCTTCTTGCAGTCCATGGGACTCTCAAGAGTCTCCTCCAGCTGATAGTTACTTTTAAAAGTTGCAGACTCTCAATTCCTTGATATGGATTAGGTTTCCATGATGATGATGATGATGATAACAATGACAATAGTAGTGATGTTTTTTATTGTATGTCTCTGGAGTTGAATGCTAGCTGCCTGTCCATTTTTCCCAGTTGGGAGGAAAACGAAGGTGAGAACTTGCTATGTTCATTGAATTACTGCTAGTTTCCACCCTACCACACCCAAGTCCCCAAAAACCATGTAACCGAAGATTATTATTTTTTAACACAACCCACAATCTTTGGAAAAGACTCTTACCTATCTTATTTGCATTGTTTCACCTATTGGGAGGCTGACTGATGTTTCGCACGGCAGATGTGTTGGCTATGCATATATGTAATGGTAAACACTTTGAAGACCTGCTTTCCACTAGGTAGGAGCCACATACTGGGGAGCCGTAGCCAATGGTGACTTCTTCGCCCTTCCCCACATCTCCTTTTCACCCTCAACAGCAGTCGCCAGAGAAACATGGATAAGTTTAACATTGGCATTCATTGCTTCTGTAGTAGGGTTGGAATGGAGAATCTAGCTAGACATATTTTTTTTACTGCAGTCATCAAACACAAAGGCATTTTATGACCCAATACACCCAACAGCTTGCCGGTTGTAATCCTACATTCTTGAGTTCCTCCAGCATTATGATCCTGCTAAGAGAAAGCACTGGATAGGAAGAAGTCGCAAGCAGAGTTAAGAGCGTTTCCAAGTTTGTTTTGTTTTTGACCAAAGGAGTGGAAAACAGGATTAGCTAATTCGTAAAGAACACAGCGGTGCTCTGCAAAGTGTTCAGTGCCAGAGTGAGATCAATAGGGCTGCACAGCTGCCAAACAGAGCATAGCTCTCTCTTTTAAAACATTAGTCATCTTTGCAGACTTGTTAGTGTAGAGGTCAGGCATAGGCAACCTTCGGCCCTCCAGATGTTTTGGACTACAGTTCCCATCATCCCTGACCACTGGTTCTGTTAGCTAGGGATCATGGGCGTTGTAGGCCAAAACATGTGAAGGGCCAAAGGTTGCCTATGCCTGGTAGAGGTGCTTTCACATTAAGCTGCAGTTAGCAGAGAAGTAATAATGGGAGGTAAACAATCTGTTCTGCCATTGGTATTTCAAAATACATGGGTGTGAAGCTTTCTTGTATACAAAGACCTTTTAAACAGAGCTTCCAGGCTCTCTATGCAAGTATCAGTATCATGGGAGAGCCCATGTGGGGGAAAGATCCAGGGAAGACGTAGCAAACATGGTGCGCTCTAGATGCTGTGGACTACAACTTCAATCATCCCTGATTTCTGACCTAGGGCTGAAAGCCGAAGTCCAAATCCTAGGAAGGAAGATGGAAGGAATCCAGTTTGATTAGCCTAGAGAAAAAGGTTGTTTGTTTGAAATCTGCCAACTCCACTTTTTATTTAGAAGGATCTTGGGGAAGAGAGGGAGCCTATGAATGATTTTAAACGGCAGGTTTAATGGCTGATCTCTAAGGTTTCATGCATAGCACAGATGCTTAGGTGTGGTGCACTGAAGGTTAACCTAAACAACTTGTCTTGTCTAGTTAAGAAAGAAAAACTCCAGGGGGGAATCTAGGCAGATCGAACCTGGTGTACAACTGACTGTGAACGTTTACTTCATTGTGGGCTTGATCCATCCAATCCACAGTCATCCCATTTCTTTCAACAGGAGAGCTTATTGAACCCCTCTTCCTTTTGGCAAAAAATAAATGAATGGCTATTTCTCCAGGACAGAACTTTGCAATGGCTATTTCTACAAGACAGAACTTTGCAACCCACAGATAAATTGCATGAAATTTCCTGTTTTAACTGCAAGTGTGATTAATAAATTACATGGAAGATGGAATGTGCAGCTTTTTCTGCTTCCCAATTTAGTTTGGGCTGCATAAGAAACCAAAGATCCCATGCTCCCTGTCATGAAATGATGGTCTTGAGCATGGTCAAGAGCATCTTTTTTCCTGTTAAAGAGAAGCTAGAAAAACCTGTCCTGTCTCCCTGTCACTGTTTCACACACCATCAAATCGTAAAGAACTCCCCACCCCGACACCCATTTTCCTTTCTTTGGAAGTACTTGGGAAGAAGGTTGAGGGGTTTGTTTTAGCTTTCTCGGAAAACCTTGGATAAACTTGAGACACACACCCCTTGCATTTCCCAAGAACACTTAAATACATATTTTTGAGTGGAGCCCTCCCATCGCTAGTTTACAACACACTAGCTCTACCATCAAATAAATCAGCTCCTCTCCGGTGCAGCTGTCGGGTGTGGTAATTCAGCCTGTTACATATCAAGTGGTGCCTGAAAATTTCAATAAAATAGCCTGGCTCTGCATCTCGCTTTTTAGCTTTTTTTTGGTTTTTAATTGATGATCTTGCCCGGCTACCATTGTAGCGACAAGTTCAGTTCAGTGCATTGTGGCTTTCCAATGGCGCTCGGAGGTTGTCAACCGCTGCTCTTGTGAAAGCATGGTTTGGGCACCTGGGCTTGGTTAAGGCAACAGGAAGACAAGGGGGCGCAGGGAGGCTTGACCTATTACAAATTCGCAAGCAGCCAGTCCAGAAGTCCGCATGATGGTGCACTTCCCACCGTGGGCTCCATTTGCTGTTGCAAAAAGTACTTCTTTACCTCTTGGAGAATGTCTCCCACCGTGTACGCCTTCTTGCCTGCTTTCTCAGCCAGCAGTGGGAGCTTAGCAAGTTCATTGTCGTTTTCATTAATGAAGGTCAGGTTGGGCACATTGAGATGAGAAGCCACCATCCACTGGAGAATAGCCTGCAGCTCCTTGTTCACGGGGCTGTCGTCCGCATTCTGGTTGCCCACAATTACTTCAGAGTCGGTTAACTGTTCGCCGTTCGCCGGCGAAGTTGATGTTTGGCCTTCCGAGAAGGAGTCGCCCGAACCGTTTTGTTTGTCTGGTAAGTCGTCGGTCGCTGTCTCGGAGGCGTCGTCTTTAGCCGTGCGTAAGGACAGCTTTGTGACGGATAGTGACAGTTGATCCATCGGTTGGTCGTCCGTCTGGTTCATGTTGTCACTTGCAACAGAACCACCCATGGCCTGTTCTGGTACAGCCCTGTTGGATTGGGATGAGCTCTCAGGAGCAGCCGTTGTTCCAGTGGAGCTGTGAGACATATTTGCAGCAGCTCACTAGACAACCTTACCCAGGGCTGTACAGAGTTGCTCTTTTGAGTTGAGCAGGTTTGATGACCCAGCCGGACACGAGATGTTTGCCTGCTCTCTCAGATGCCCATGCTCTTAATACTGACCTGATAACATTTTCACTCCTGTGGGCACATAGTTTCTATGCCAACGGTGACATCACAAATCATCATTATTACTCACCAGCCAATGGTATGCTGGCAGTCCTTTATTTATTTAGTCTTGTGTTTCCCAAGCTTGAGCCTCCAGCTGTTTTTGGACTACAACTCCCATTATCCTTAGCTAGAAGGACCCAGTGGTCAGGGATGATGGGGATTGTAGACCCGGGTCTGGGAAACATGGATTTAGATGTTGAGCCTGCCTGATTCCAACAGCTCTGGGCAGTCTATTACCCTGTATGCTACATGATACAATAGATAATTGAAATCCATGAACAGATGAACCCCATGACTTGTAATGCTTCCAGATTTTTCCAAGGTTTTGGAATATTCCCAGAAAGAGGAGCTCTTCTTCTCAGAGAAACCACCAATAATGTATTTGTACTTTCCTGACTAACCCACCTATATATCTGTTTTTTTAAAAATCAAGCCAGGTGTGGGGAACCTTTGGCCCTCCAGATGCTGCCAAAGTACAACTCCCATCAGCCCCAGCAAGCATGGCCAAAGGCCAAGGGAGATGGAAGTTGTAGTTCGGCAACATCCAGAGGGCCCAAGGTTCACAATGCCCAAGCTAAATCATTGGGGAAAAGCAGAATAACAATGGTATAAAAATCCAGCATGAAACTTCAGCCAAGCAGATAAAATTCATATTACCTGTTAAAGAACTGGGCAAATGAAAATCTGTTTGCCAGGATTTGGAATGACATCACAGTTGCTGCCAGGCCAGCTTTCATGGAGAGGGTATTCCATAAGCAGAGTGCCACAACTGAAAAGTTCTTCCTCTTAAGTCATTACTTACCTAATTATAGGTGGTGGCAGGGAAATGTAGTGGTTAGGTAAGCTCATGTGGGATGCACATTCGTCCCACCAAATTAAGTACTGTCTGAAACTCCAGAAAGCGGCTGCCAGTCAGTGTTGACTATACTGAACTAGATGAACCAATGGTCTTGGTATAAGGCACCTTCCTATGTTCTGTGAAGAATATTGCATTTGGTAGTGAAAAAGCAGCATATAAATTTAAATCCCTGAGGCTATAAAATTAGAATCTTAAAACTGAAAGGCCCCTAAAATTCCTGGGATTTTAAAGCCCAATAAGCAGTTTGTGTTTGTTTGTTGCATTTGTATCACACCTTTTTCTTCATTGAGCTTATGGTGGCATTCTTGGTTCTTTCCCTGCAAATTGTTTCCTTGCACAATTTGGTTTTATGGGCTTTTTTTTTTTTTTTTGCGTGTGGAAATATCTGTGCCAAGTGAAGGATTGATACTGGGGTGGTTTGCAACTTGTAATATCTGATTGCAAAGCAGCCTCATGCTTGGCTTGTAGCGACACAGAGCAGTCTTTCTACCTGCCAGGAGATTGTCTAATCTAATATAAATATCAGCTAGGACAAAGCGCTTGCAAAGAGAATTCCTCCGTAGCTCGCTCATAGTCTGGGTGGATTTCAAATGTAAATAGCTGTTGAATTTTATAACAAAGGTGTGTTGTCGCTTAGCATATCGGAGGTGAGAATTCTCTCGCAGCTCCATGTTTTTTCAGATTGCTCTGGGCGAAATAATAGTAATAACGATAATAATTTCAAGGCGCACAGTCCTTGATTTACCACGGCCAATATTTTAATAAAAAAACACCTTCAGGTGCTCTGTATTGATAAAGAATTCTTATGGGACTTGTTCCTTCCTGTCTGCAGCCAAGCTGCGTCGTGCATCTACATCAAAGTATATAGAAAGCAGAGAGAGGTTTGTTTACACAGTGAAAATGGAATAGCGGCATTCTTGGAACAGTGTTTACCTGCTTTTGTCAACGTCCCAGTTCTCAACACTCTGGCCCGCTCGAGTGTGACCCAGGAATGCCATCAGGGGCACACAGATCTAGGCTCTAAACTTTGGCCATGGTGGTCTTGGGCCCTCCTTTTCGTCCTATGTAACTTGAATGGCTGCAGTTAACTTATAATATTGGAAAAAGTAAAACACATCTTTCTGGTTGGGAGAACCCACTGCCCCTGGGTAGCCACATACCCCTTTCAGAAATCCTGATGGGGGTCTGTCTTTCAATATAGAGGCCTGTCCTCCACACATTGCCATCCTGTATAATGGCCACCCGTTTTGCTAGTGTATAAATCATCTTGCCCTGCTCATAGGGCCAATCAAAAGGTCACTTCACACACACCCTGTGAAGAAAGCCAAACTATCTCTTGCCTCAACACTTGGTCTCCTGTACGCAACTTTCTTGTCAGCAGCCCATCTATAGGGCCCCAGTTTTAAAAGAAAACAAAGCTGCCGTTTGATGTGGTCTCCAGTTTACTTGTTTCGTTTAAATCTTTGAAACCATTTTGACCTGCTGTCGTTTCTAAACGGGGTATCTTGTTTGTTTCATTATTTAATACTACCTTGTTCTTTGGAGAAGTCTAAAGCAAGTTGTTCGGTAAGAAACTTGAGTATTTAACTGTTGTAGAGGTGCATGTATTTTGAATTATAATAGACTTTTTCACCCCCATCCACCCCCCTCTTCTGATTTTATTTTAAAGCTGTGGAGGTGGGGTTTTTTTCTTCTTTCCTTCTCTTTCTTTCTTTCTTTCTTTTTTTAAATTACTTGTAATTAAGGCCCTGGTCCCATATTGGTGATGCTGAAAACAACAATATTACCCAGTATAAGTTGGATTGTGGGAAAGCAAGTGTGGCTTGGCGTTTAGTTCAGTGTGATGCAAATATCATGTTGTGATCTGTGAAACGTGAAGTTTTGCAAAAAAGTTTTGAAAACTTTTGTGAAGTTTTGAAAAAGTTGGAAGTGCAGGCTGTGAATGTGAAGGAGAGAAGTGATAAGCTCATGCCCGTACATAGGATCTTTTGGTTTTTGTTTTTCCCCCCAGGCCACCTTCCCCACCCACCGCTGAAGCAAGTGCATAATGCTATTGGTGAGAGATATGTACTGATAGGGTGAAAGTGGCTGAAAGAAAACATGTTGTGCATGTCAAGCCCATTTAATGTTGAATTATACACTAGGAAAATAAAATAAAACATTTTCCCCTGACTTCACGTCAAAGGTACAAAATATTTAAGGTGTGGAAGGGCTGGCAAGTTGTGAATAAACAAGTGGGAATTGCAGCAAAGCATTGCATTGTAGAGTGCTTCTGTCAAGGTGCAGCACCCACCCATGCCCCTTTCCAGGATACTCCATTCCTTTTCCTTCTTTGCATCCCTCCCTGGAATGAACACACACACACACAGAGAGAGCTTCCAGCAGTCAGCAGTTTTTGTCCAGTGACTATACACATACCCTCCAACATTTCTCTGATGAAAATAGGGATGTCCCATACCATAACGATAATTTTACTGTTTATACCCCACTCTGGGCAGCTACCAACATACATAAAAAACATACATTAAAAAACAACAAAAAACTTCCCTGTACAGGATTGCCTCCAGACGGCTCGGGGATTGGGTAACTGCATACCCTCCAACATTTTTCCAGTGAAAATAGTGACATCCTAAGGAAAGCGGGACATTCCAGGATCAAATTAGAAACTGGGACGGCTTCTCTAAATCAGGGATGTCCCTGGAAAATAGGGACACGGAGGGGTCTGTATGCTCAATGTTCCCTGGGCTGTTTCTCTCTCTCTCTCTCTCTCTCTCTCTCTCCTGCCTAATACACGCTTAAGGTTCCCCCCTCCCCTAACATTTTGTACTTCTGCAAATTTTGGAGTTCTGCCAATCTGGCTGATACCTCGCTCCTCTGAGCGGACAGTGCCATTTTGGCTGCATAAGGTTAAGCATCAGGAGAATGACTTCTCTGTTAGTATGTAAGATTTTAAACAGTCAAAAGTACATAGAAGCAGCAGTGGACCCTTTTTAATTTTATTTTTAGGGGTAAGCCACAGTTATGCCGGTCCATTTATTGCAAACCCACGTCTTACATTACAACGGTTTTGTGAAAGAGTACGACTGTTTGCTTGAGTGTATGTGGAAAGTATTCTGTGTGGTCATGATGAATAAACGCTAGCCTCCCCATCTCTTCTCTCTCTCTCTCTCTCTCTCTCCCCCCCCCCCCCCATATATGGTCCTATAGCAATTAACACATTTCCTTTTCGGAATGGCAACAGCTAAAGAAGTAATTTTGTGTAGCTGTTCCAGAGAGCTTTCTGCTGGATTGGGCTGCTGGTTCATGCTTTCTGAAGCTTTTGCAAAAGTCCCAAGTTGGGGGACCTTCTGTTACATAGATCTGGACTGTATGGTTAGTGATTGTTTTCTCCCAGTTCTAAACTCGCTCAAAAGATTTCTGGAGCCTGTTTTTGCACAGGCGTTGGAAGGATGTTAGTTTTATAAAGGAATGTTACTCGTGGGTCATTTAACCCATTTTCTATGGTAATGGGACTGTTCTGCTCCAAAAAGAATGTGTGTGTGTGTGTGTGTCCCAGTTTGAATGCACTCAGCAGGGCTGTAGAAAACTCAGCAAAGATGGCCTATTCACTTGCTATGCTGTCTTGCAGTTTTTCTGACAACACTCTCATTGATAAGGCCTTTCAACAGCCTGTGAGCAGGCTCCATGCTATAGCTGATCAGCTAGCCACGTTTTATCTTGTATGTCCTGAAAGTGTTAACAGAAGCCTAAAGTGATTGAGATAGTATTAACAAAGCTGCAAACATGGAGGTAAATCTCTTTTCCCCACTCCCCCCCCCCAGCCTATTCTTACCTGCATTCGTATCCTTGGTAGTCAGAACAATATTCAGGAGACTAAGCAAAATCTTTGAAAGTTAATATTTTTAAAGATGGCCAGCAGTCCCCTTCCCCTTCCTTCAGAGAAGATTAGCAATTAAAAATAAAAAGGTATCCTTTGATTTTGATCTAAACCAAGATAGACTCTACCTGGCACCCTTGTTTTGGGTGACTTGCATCCGAGGTTAATCACTATATCTGCCATAGAAATGGTGGCAAAGTCACCAGCCATTCCCAACTTCGCACCTTTCAGATGTGTTTGGCCTGCAACTCCCATCAGCCATAGTCAGTATGGCCCAACAATCAGGGATGATGGGAGTTGTAGTCTAAAACAGTGGTCTTCAACTGTTAGCAGACCCGAGACCCAACTCATGAGTCTCCCAACCGGCAACACAAGACCCACTTTCACGTATTAGTTTTTGGTTTATACTTAATAGTTCCAATAAGGCACACTATCAATCCTAGAATTGCAGTTCTCAGAAGAATATATGTAGCATAACATTAGCATAACAAAATGGAAACCAGCAAGGAACTACCCCGTGACCCATCCCTATTCCAGGATGCAGGGAGTGGACTGAGGGTGATGTAGAAATATGTTTCCTTATTGAAAAAGGCTCTTTCCTTTCTCCTGCCACTTTGCAGCGCTCGTGGAAATTGATAAAACAAGTGTCTCATTGGAAGAATTCGCTCTCGCCCAGACACCGCATGTAGTCCTCCTTTGGTCAGCCTCAGTTGGAGTCCAGCATGGCAGCAACAGCTGCGATAGCCTCGTGATCCACGAGTTGGAGACCTACGGTCTTAAAACATCTGCAGGGCACCAGGGTGGGGAAGGCTGCTCTACATCTTAGCTTAGTAGAGGTCTTCTCACTGAGGTAGAAAATCTAAATCTTCTCTCTGTTCTACACTTGCTCTCCTAAATAGGTGCATATTGTGCCACAGACTTCTCTTCTGCAGCAGAATACCCATCTCTTCTTAACCATGTTTCCTGCTCTCTGAACTTGTGCTAGTTTGGCAACACCTTTCTTACAAAATCAAGTTGGACATCTGGTGCAATATTTCGACTACGCCTCTCCATTTCCAAGCGTAATGGAACAGTCGTGCTCCATTGTCTTTGGAACTAGGCTTCTGCTGCCCAGCTCCAAATAACTCAGCGTGTTACCTCTGATCTGGTGGTGTGTCAGAAATAAGCTAGAAAAGTTCTGCTTTTATTGTTACCCATTCAAGCACATTAAATTGTGTGGTGATTATAGCAAAAAAAAAAAAAAGAAGGTTGCCTGAGATTAGAATATCTAGCATACCCCATAGATTTCTAGCATAGAAATCTAGCTAGATTTCTATCTAGCATACCCCATAGATTTCACTTCCAGCTTCAAAAATGCCTGTTCTTTTAACGTAGCCACGTTCTGTCTGGCCAAGCAAGAAAGCCCTGCAAATATTCATGCTGGATTTTGTCTGTGTAGAGTTTCACCCTCCCTGCCCCCAGTCCCAAAGTAGGCTCTGGATATGAGTCTGCATGCCTGATTATGTAATAAGAGCCTCTATCCACAGCAATCCAAGAAAGAAGAGCCAATATCCTGTTAGACTGAGTAGTGCATAATTGTTCCTAGAGCTTGCAGAGTTCCTACTTTGGAAAGAGCTTGAGATTCCAGCGCAGTGACATGTACCGAATTTGGCTCCCTCTTATATGATATATTAAGGGGTTGGGGAGGGGGGAACTGGTGTGTAAAAGTTGTCTAAGCGTTTTGTCTCAAGCTCATAGAACAGTGCCTCTTCTAGGATCCAAAAGCAGAAGCAGCCTCCCCAAAAACTTTGCTTTGCAGTTCTGAACTGGGATAGCCCCCAAATTCCATATCTTCAGCTGAATGTAGCTAGAGTCAGGGTGGGGCCTGTGGAGAATGGAGTCTTGTTTTTGTTTTAGCTTTTTTCTTTTGATCAGTGTGTTGCGCCCCCCCCTTTTTTTTACATGAAATCTAGTTTTGTCTAGAGAAATGGTGATTGAGCAGTTGAGACACTTGATTAAATCCCTGGAGGTTATGAGTTGCTTACACAGAGATTCCTTTTGCCTGTGAAGGGCTGCCCTTTAGAAGCCCCACCCTGTCTATCTGATTTCAGCAGGAAAGCCTACAAGCAGCTGCTCAAAAAGAAGCTCAACGGTGATCACCGAGAGAGGAAAATGTGTGCTGGATCTGCCCCATTCAGTATGCACGCCTGGACATGTTTACTAAGGAGTAAGCTCCACTGGAGAGGCTGGTGCCTTAGCTAAAAAACCCTCAAGGATTGCAGTGCAAATGTTCAGGATTGCAGCCTCGTACTGTCTAACTGCCCTGAAAAATCCCAGGACCGTCGCCAAAACTCTCTAGCCATCACGGCTTCTCACGGTGACACGGAGATCCCGATTTCCCTTCAGTACAGCGTTTCAGCATACTGCTGGGAGTTCAGATCCATGTGTCTCTCTAACACATTTCTTAGCTCCATGCCTCCCTCTCCCTTCTCCCCCATCCAATAAGCAGCACTTCCTGTTTGTATGAAAACGAGATCCGGGTCACTTGAACGCCCCTAAGAACGTCTTGGCTCTGGCTTGCTTAATTTGGCCTCTGTGTCCCTGCCTTGGAGGCAGCAGCATGGGGGACGACACTATTTTTATCTGAGGTATGTTGGAGGGGGTTTGCAGCCTTAGTGGAGAAGACCTAATGTAAGCGTACCAGATACTTCCCATCCTTCTTCCTCCTTGTTTCTCCCCTGCGCCCCGTGTATCTGCTGGCCAGAGCATGGTATGTCCATTAACTGCCTTCTAACAGTACATCTTTGGGTGATGAAAGAGAGCGAAGGAGTGTCCACATGCGTGGTCAGCTAAGATTTTCCAACTTTTGAATTAACCCCATAGCTGTCCGCACTTAGCTTGGGATCTGCACCTTAAGCATATCATGGTTCATCATGTCAGATAAATATATTGCAAGCAGTCCCTTCAGAAAGCACTTTCTGCCCTCTTGGGTCCCAAGTGGACCTGTACCAGCTCCTTGATAAGAAGTACAATGAAAGCGGCTTCACCCACAACGAGCAAAGTAAATATGAGTGCAAGAGAGGCATCATAATTTGCTTTGAAATTGCAACAGGTTTTGTAATTTTGTGGTAGATACATCTCTCTTCTGCTTGTTGGTAGACTAAGGCTCTGCCCTATCTCTACACACACTTTAATCTGTGTTAACGGCAACAGCGGGACAGATTGCTAAAGGCTTAGAAAACTGCTCCCCATAAAGAAAAAAGAAAAAAAAGTTTCAATTATTTAAAACAAACACTCAAAACTACATGACATTGTAGCTATAAAGAAAAACATGAATATTTGTTGGAATAACTATATATTTTTATTGGACCAAACAGGTTTTAAAAAGTGTTTCCCCCCAAACTCCACAGGTTTATGATGAGAGATATAGTTTTTGTTCACAACTGAAAGCTATCTGGCTATTCTTCTCTGAAAAATCAGGCTAGTGCCACTGACTTGAAGCTTACTAGGCTTTACCTTGGAGATTTCTGGTTGTTCTAAACTCTTCAGAAGCAATGGAGCCGATACAATTCTTCAGCACTGAGAATAATACCTTTCGAATCAAGCCTTTTCCTGCCTTCAGGTCAGTTCAGGTTTCCTGGTGCCATTTCAAGTATGGCCAAGCAAAAATGGTAATTATTTGAGTTAAGGGTGCTATCTTGTCCGGGCTTTCGCAGAAGTAAGACCTGTGAAGTTCAATAGGTAAATGGGCATAGGACTTTACATCCTTAAGGTGATATTAATTGGAAGAAGAGCATGGATTCAACTGGATTTTTTGTTCATTGGCACTGCATATTGGCTTTCAGACATGCATTTGGTTCAATGCTCATAAACTATAGGGAGAGGGGTCTAGTGGGATTTTCTCTAGGCAAAGAACATAAGAATAGCCTGGTGGATCCGGCCAATGGCCCATCTAGTCCAGCATCCTGTTCTTACAGTGGCCAGTCAAATGCCTCTGGGAAGGCAAGAAGTAGAGCATAAGCACAAGAGCACACTCTTCTCCCATGGATTCCTGCAACTGGTATTCAGAAGCATTGCTGCCTCCAGCTGTGGAGGTGGAGCACAGCCATCATGGCTAGTAGCCATCAATAGCCTTTACCTCCATGAATTTGTCTAATCTTCTTTTAAAGCCATCCAAGTGGGTGGCTTTCTCTGCCTCCTGGTGGAGCAAGTTCCATAGTTTGACTTTGCCCTTGATCAATACCAGCCTGCTTTCTGTAGCTCAGCTGGTATAGCATGAGACTCTTGATCTTAGGGTCATGGGTTTGAGCCCCGCAGGGGGCAAAAAGATTCTTGCATTGCAGAGGGTTGGACCAGATGACCCTCTATGATTCTATAGGGCAGGCATGGCCAAACTTGGCCCTCCAAATGCTTTGGGACTACAACTCCCATCATCCCTAGCTAACAGGACCAGTGGTCAGGGATGATGGGAATTGTAGTCCCAAAACATCTGGAGGGCCAAGTCTGGCCATGCCTGCTATAGGGTCTCAGACTACCAGCTATTATGCTTTGATATAAAAATGTGTAAGCCTAAGTTTGGTGGAATCTAATGGTATAACTGTAGTTTAGGGAGACGGCCCTGGGGGGTCGCCTGGAGTCAGGGCCCTGAATCTACACATTGAACCAAGAGGGCAGGGGAGAAGATGCCCAATCTGATGCCCTGCTCTAGCCTCTAGTCACCAAGGCCTAGGGATGCTTGGCACAAATCATAGTAGGATTTTTGTTTTATTTTTTTAAATCACGGTTCTGAGCAGCTGTTCAAACAGAGTGTGAATTTCATGTTGGTCAGATGAGGTTGGCAAGGCAGGTGGGGATGTGAACGGAATCAATGTGTAGGCTCCTGTGTGGTGGCTTGCCACACATGGACTCTGGAAAAACATTTGGGCTGCTGGCCCATGAGATGGACACCTGAGGCTTCCTGTGTAGCTTGTTTGGCTTGCGGTACGAAGGCTAAAGTGATGTAACCCAGGAATGAGGTAATCAATGAGCTTATGTGTGCGTGCATTTGCTCACACACTTACTAAATAGCCAGGAGTCCCCCTAATGGAGGATGCCTGAGATACAGCAGCCTAGAAATAGAAATGAGCTTTTGTTTACTCTTGTCAAAGTCAAGAGAGGAAACGCTGGAAACTCATCATGCTTAATTGGGCGCTGTCAATGCTGTGTAGTTGCTGACAGGCACCCGGGGAAGGTAGCCTGACTAGGAGATAGGATTTTGGTGTGGCGTCTTTTGCCAGGTCTGCCTTGTTGAACCCCATCTATTGTTGACCTGTGGGCCAAACGGAAGATCGTGGTTGATGGCTCAAATCCATTTTCATCAACAGGGGACCCATGCTCAGTTTGCAAACTCAAGGTTTGCCTCGGTTCCTGAATTCTAAAATAGGAATAACAAAGGTTCACTGCAGAAGAGCTATGCCAGAGAAATCAGTAGCCGTATTCACACCTGGCCCTAAACCTGGGTTTATTGCTATGTGTTCAAGCTGGAGGGATTTACTTCCAGACAAAGGATTTGCTTTCAGTTTACCTGAATCTTGGTTTGTCTTGTCGTCTTGATCTGAATAAACTGGCTTGTCCATTGAGCCAGCTCAGCCTTCTAACAGGCTTGCAGGTGCCTGTTATGTTGTGCCAGGTGCCAGGAAGTAAACTGAAGTATGAAATGTCCCAAGCTATCAGTTCATTGACCTAATTTTCCACCTCCTGTTAGTGCCTGTTGGTGTCCTGTCGCCACCCACTCCCTTGTTCCTGCTGTGGACTTTCGCTCTGCCTAGCATTGATGGTTGGAATTCCCACTTATGCAAAACTTATTGATTTTTCCTGTGCAGGTGGTTGGCAGTGAAGCTGTAGCACGAAGGTGTTACTCACGTAAGCAAACAGTGTTCAGCAGTCCTCCACAAGCTATTCTGGCATCACTCCGTCGCAAAGACTTGTGGAACCATAAGAAACAATGCACATGCTTTTGTGGATTAGAGCCCACCATGCCACAGTAAAACCACAACCCTAGGACTCTGATAATGCCTGCTGGCTGCTTGGGGATAGGATAGAGAGGAATACGTGTGAGAGTGTGTGTATAACCTAACCTACGGTACAGAGGCAAAAATGTACATAGTGCATCACACTGTTGATTCATGTTAAGCTTGTGATTCGCCAAGAACCCTGGATCCTTTTCTTATGTACTGCTAGTAAGCCAGGTGCTCCCCCCCTCAAAAAATCTTATATTTGTGCATCTGGTTCTTCCTGCCTAAGTACAGAACCTTACATCTGTCTCTATCAAAATTCATTTTGTGAGTTTGGGCCCAGGTCTCCAATTCGTTAAGATCACCTTGAATCTTGGTTCTGTCTTCTGTGGCATTATCTATCCCTCCCAGTTTGTTGTCATCTGTGGATTGGATGAGCTGCACCCACTTTTGCCTCTGAGCCTGCCCAAACACTGGCATGTAGCCCCCATGTGTTTACCTGGAAGGAAATGTGGGCCTTGGGGTGAAAAAATGTCCCCTGCCCCTGGTTATGAGGCAGTGCTAAACAATGAGGTGAGTGGAAAATCTTTTCTGCCAGAGCTCAGTTGGTTTAAGCTTTACCCCTTAACATCTACCCTGGTTGTATTTGTACTGCTGTGTAGGCCATATTTACGGACTGTTCTTTTCCCGTCTTATGGAGAGGAATGGTTCCTTATGGATAGGAGATTAGGGTAGGAGCTGGCCTGCTTCTTTCCCTTTTGTTACAAAGCAAGCATATCGCCCATCTCGCTCCAGGGCCAGTGCTGTAACTAATTAAGAAACTGGTGTACGCAGCGTACGTTGAGTTTCACAACGGCTGACCCAAGCATGTCAGGAGTGCATATCCCGCCCCTGGCCTGCTCTTGTTATGTATCTGAGTTCCACCTGAACAAACAGCGTCTCTGCAATGGGGCTGCCAAGCTTTCCCTTGGGAACTAGTGATTCGGTGGCCTCGGAGCACAAAGTGGGGGCTAATTTTACGGATACTCACTTCCTGCCTGAAGAACATACTTAAAGAGACTGCAGTTTCCTTTCCGAAGTGTTACACTCTCAAAGGGTCAGCAGAGGCTTTCAGTGTGGAGCAAGGAACATCGTTCGTAGGTGTGTTTTTTTTAATGCAGATCAGTGGGAAGCATATATATTACATTGACCCACTATTGCAGCTTGTAGAGTACACAGATCTGTGTCCTTAAACTAGGGGATAGCCAACGCGGCGGTCTCCAGGTGTTGCTGAACTGCAGCTCCCATATTCATCCTTCTAGAGTGCCTTGTGTGACCACCCTCAGGTATGGATTGGAGACCATGCAGGGGAAAAAGAGAGTGTGCACCTCGGTGACGCTTCTGCTTTCAAAACTTGAACGGGCTTTGTTGAAAAGCTTTCCCTCAGACGATGGTCCCTGTTTGATGTTTCATCACCCAGAGCCTATAGAGGCTGAGGAGCTGACTTTGATTCCCTTGATATCCATCTGTAGTACCATACACATCTGACATCAAATGGACTGAAATGGTTTGGGAGCTGTCATGTGTTTCCTTAGCTGATCATGAATATGCCTCTCTGCATGCTGATCAGTTAAGATAGACTGGTAGATGCAAGTTTGAACATTACTTAGGTTGGAAGTATGCACAGACTGATGTGTTGGAACCAGTCTCAGCTGGGCTTAGAGGAATGACTAGCTCCTCCTCCTCCTCCTCCTCCTCCTCCTCCTCCTCTTCCTCCTCCTTCCAATTATTAACAGTTTCTTTCAAACATTTTGTAGCACAACTTCCCATCTCTACCTTTCCCTCACTTATTTCCCTCCACCTGCCCATTTTCCAAGGTGGGCTTAGGTTTCGGGATAGCGTCTCTTACCTACATCCATTACACTTATGAAACATAAGCAGAGCATCGTTAGGGCATTTTTAACGCACCAAACCATAAAAATAAAATAACAACACTATGAACAAAAAACCTCTCCCAGTGTGGTCATAAATCCTGAATTCTTTCTTGCACCCTTCTTTTATCTCAGTTGGCATGTTGTTGGGATGGCTACCTCATGAGGAAAGGCTGATCTGGATGGTTTTTATAGAATGTAGAAGTTGAAACTGGCTGTGACTAAGCAAGCGACTGCTTAAGAGACGGAAAGCCAGAAGGCCCCTTCCTAGCAGCAGTGCTTGATTCATCCCATGTGACCTCTTTTTGATCTAGATCTCCAGTCATGGTCTGGCAGCCCTTTATAACACGAGACCTTGCATGTCCTCTGGTAGAAGGCATTTCTAGGTGGTTTAATTGTTCTCCTTCCGCATGTACATATCTGAATATTAATAGAACGAAAAGGGAGGTGCAGAGCTCCCCTCTCGTTTGAAGCTTCCTTTTGGTTTTGATGCTTATAGCAGGTGGTGCCTTAATGGGGTTTTTGCTGTATTAAGGCTTCCTTCCACCCCCAACTCCCTAAATTAACAAAGCCGGGCCAATACTGAAAGCTGATACTAGATGAAGGCCAACCGTGCAATTTTCCCCTGCCTCCCCGTTCTCCTCATGGCAAACCAAAAATAGCCTTCACCCTGCGGAAGGAAAGTCTTCCCCCTCCCACTTGTACTTGTGGAAAAGGCTGCCAAAAAGATTTATCAATAAAAAACCATGAAGACGTTTAGCACTGGCCTACCCACTGGGATTAAGGTGTAACCTTAGCTTCTCTTAAGGGATACTCCAATATTCCTAGAAAAGCCATGATCCTTTTGAAGTAGCCCCACCTGTTTTGCTCTGTCATTTCTCACTCCACCTCTAGCGCATGCGCACATTTCTTACCTTTTGTTTTACTATGCCATCTGCTTCAAATTGTGAACAATAATGTAACACCTTATTAAGAAATAAGTACATTGATATAAGTAGGTTTGGAGGGTGGTGTCTGCATGTCATCTGCGTTCCCCTTCTCCCAAGAAAGTGCAAGACTCACCAAGGCTCTCTTAGCTGAGACTGAGTCGCATTGAACTCTGCGGGGCTTACTATCAGGTTAACACATGTAAGACCAGGTTGCACATTTTGAAGGGCAACAGGATATATGTGCCTCTTGCACAAAGTGTTCAAGGTCAGTATGCTTCATCTGTGAAGATGTTAATTGTGAATAGCATATACTGGAGGACTTCAGTGGAACGCTTGCCCACGTGGAGTAATCAGAGTTTCATGTAGCAAATGCTAAAAAGTCCCAGCACATTATTACGCTCGTACCTTGGATCCCAAACGCCTTGGAAGCTGAACGTTTTGGCTCCCGAATGCTGCGAACCCGGAAGTGACTGTTCTGGTTTCCGAACGTT